CCAAACAGATTCATATACTAGAACGTTAGGAAGTGGGACATTGAATCTCTACTTACGGCACAAAGTTAAAAATTTAACCGATGAAACCAGTTGTTTTCTTTTCGATATCCAACGATAAGACCCTTATGTGGTAGCAAAAAAAAATTTAAAACCGGTTAGAAGTTTGACAAAAAAAAAAAATTTGGCAATCACTACATCGTCGGAGAGTAATCTTATAGCGTTCATTCATCTAACACTCACCAAGTGAGCAATGGAAGGTGGCATGCTTTCTATTTTTCAGTAGAATTATAACTTCAACAAAAATCCATCTAAGCAATTTTTGAATGAATGAAGAAACTGAAAAAAATAGTAGCCTACTAGTCCGCCAAATTAGTAAAAAATTTGGCGTTCAAAACTAAGGAAAAAAATTGAGGCTTTGAAAATAAATTGCCATCGAAGTGATGAAAACGCTCTAAAAACTATAAAATTACAACAGTTTTCCTACTCCTTTTGTAACCAATTTGTTATTAACAAAAAATTTTTTCATTTTTTACACTAATTATTACCTTGGCAAAAAAAGAAAAACCCTTTGTGAATCGAACACTTTTAGCTATTCTTAAATTGGAAAATAAAACAAAAACACTGATATCTCCTCTGATTTTGTTTCCGCACTTTTAGCACTACTGTTTTAAAAATTTTCAATAATATATTTCATTTACTAGTTGTTTTTTTTCTGGTGATAATATTTTGCACAAAACGACTTCACCCGGAACTGAACATAAAGAAGTGATGGAACATATGATGAGTCTGTAAATGGCTTAGCAACTGTTTAACCAAGACCCTTGCAGAACAGTAATCAGCAGCGCTGTTGTTGCTGAGACTTTGATTGGCTGGTTGTCTGATCGTTAAAATAACTTAGACAGCATTCTCATATAACCAAGTCACGAAAAGCAACTGTTTTTTGAAGGTTTAAAAGTGTATCACTGGCAAGCAAAGAACGATTAAGTTTTCTGAATTTATTTTTTCTTACCAGTAATCTTTATAACACCATTTGGTTGAAAAATTCGTTGTGAATATTTGTCAGTTTCTTGCAGCTAATAACAACAGCTTCTTTGAGAGTAGCAGCAATAATCTGTGCTCTAGAAATCACTACTGGACTAGGAGATGTGGAAACAATTAGGCGGACAGACTTGAAAACTGAGTTACACATGTCTACAGAAGAATAACTGCGATAAGAAAATTAAAGTGCCGGCGTTTAGAAGCTGATTTCTTGTTGCAATTAAATGCAAAGGAAAGGTGCCGTTAAAGTGAAGCCTGTTTTACAGAGCTATTGATCCGAAGTATACTTCATTTCAAAATTTTCTAAATCTAGTCTCGATAAAGAAAAAATATGTGATATTCCGTTAATATTGAGGTTTTTTTATCACCTTGTTTATTACTTCCAGAAGAGACTGCTTACTCCTAATATCAAATGGATTTCATTATGGTGTATTTAATTCGTCTGAAGTGATTGGCACTGTATAAACAGAATTTTTCATATGAATATATTATTGTGGAACCATGAAACAAGATGCGCATAGCCATAAAAAAGAACTCGGTTCGAACCCCCAAACAAAAGGGAAATGAGGAATGGATAATTTCGGAACGTGCCTGCAACGACACGTATCCTAGGAAGTTGCCAAAAATCCGAATGATGCATCACTAACAATTAGGTCAATAGATTGCTGATCAAAGACCAACTCCGTCTAATTTGTCACCAGTATCGTTTGTTTGGCTAAAATTTTTGCGTTTCTTTTAAAAATTTGAACTACTGAAAAGTTGCCGTTGACGCAAACACTGTTTTTTTTTCTTCTGTAATGGACAGATCTGTTGCATCATAGGCTGAAGCAAGACTAGGCTTTATGTTCTGTGCCGTACGTTTATTGAATGGACCGAGTTCCCTGGACTGTCTATTATCGGAAGATGCTGTTTTCAGGAATTATAGTTGATGCACCAGACGTATCAGGTCAAAATTAACTAAGATCCTAAATATAAAAAAAAAAAGTCAACAACATTTTGATGGACCGTAGTTGACTGATTTTAACTGTTTAGGAAGACTGCAAAGTTAAAAACTGAATTTAGCTTCCCAGCACTGAATTACTCGTTCAGTGTGAATATTTTTCAGCTTTTATTAATTGAAATTTCATATGACCTACAAATTTAGTTAAAAAAGCTCCTGAAAAATCCACTGCAATTTTTTTCGGGATAACGAAATGTATAGGATGCGTTGAACAATAATACGCAAAAGCTTCCGCCTAATGTCCAGTTCCGGTTAGACCCCACTAATTATGGACCATTTTACTGTTTACGGTTTTCGCCCTCTCAAAAATGAATTGTCGACGGCCAAAATTCTGTCGCCAAATTCTATTGATTTGTCTACAGCGGTATGCAAAAAAGCACTTAAAAGTACTTTTTTTATATATTTTAACTTTTTGAATCTTACACCGATTTCTGCTACTGTGTCACAATAAACTTGCTTAGGTAGGAAACTTTTTAAAATTAGTTTTTTAGTACAGACAGTTTTAAGTGTAATTCCATTGTTCTTTTAAGTTTTCTACTCTTTCGCTAGTTCTTTTGGTGTCATCGTGGTTGTTAAATGAATTGTGCAGTTAAGCACTTTATAGAAATCAAGTTTGCAAAAAATTTTTATAAGTTAAAAGTTCTCTTTTTTTACTTTTCACATTATCGTGTACTTATTATAGATGCGATTACACCTTCCTTCAGTACCGTTATAATGATACTCGTGTCTTTTACCTTCAGATATCAGACCTATTAACATGATACAATAGGTACCGTAAGCCGCAAACTAGTCTACCGCCAGAAACTGGTCTAAAAAATCAGATTGGTTCGTCAAATGACCAGTGTTTAGCTTACTAAGCACTGTTTCGCTTTTACGGCTTTGATCTGTTTACAAAATTCTTTACGATGTACAAATAAAACAGTAGCACTAACGCTGGCGAGTATCAAAACAACTAATACCAGACTTACCCACATTGTATAGTGTCTTTAACGAAAAAACAATGCCACAAAAGATGATAGACGTAACTGAAACTGTTGCAGGTTAAAGTTGTGACAAGTGTAAGCTTCAAAAGGAACGAAAAAATAAATAAAATTCTATGAGCAGAAATCTTTTCCAAAAATTTGTAAAAAAAAATACACAAATTACAACCGTAAAAACAGGTTTTTAAAAAACATTCACTACTTGTCGTATCTTCGCAACTTTTACCGTCTACCCCCCCATCCCGCATAACTTTATTTCGTTTCAAAGACGTTATTTAATATCCGCGAATCTAATGTTACCTACTTCGATGCCTAACAGCAGTAAGGCCATTGTTTTATTTACGCCTTACAAAGGATTTTGTAAACGGATAAAAGCCCAAAAAGTATCATTTTAGTTCATAAGCTGCATATTTGGTCATTGTTGTGATTAATAAGTCAGGAAATTCTGAAAGGGTTCAAAGGCACAGGGCCAACCAACTTTTCCCAGGTTTTTCCAGGAAAACTGTTCTTTGGACACTGATAAAATCAAGGAGAACTTGGCTTTCTGTTCCAGTTGCCGGCCATTAGCGGTACGGGGAAGCACAGTTGTGGCACAGATGCAGTTTGAAACGGTACTACCCATCACATCGCTGACACAAAATTTAGTAATCATGAGTTATCCGAAAAAAGGTATAACGAAAAAGAATTTTATGTGGGATTAGTGAGATCGTTGAGTTGCTGTTTATTTGTCGCCATCAGGAATTATGCAGCCAAACTTTTCGGTTTGCGATAATTTTCTTAAGCACCAACCAGTCTAGGATAATAGGTGTTTCAAATATTTCTGAAAAATATTTTTTGTATTTGTAATGTACATAAGGAAGAAAAAAACTTTTTTTTGCCCCGATTAGGGGAAAGCAGAGGGTATAAGGTATTTCTTGGCAATTTTTAAAGGATTGAGGAGGTAATGAGAAAGATATAAAAAGAAGCTTAGAACGTGAGGTAATAAACCAAAAATTATTTCTTTGGTTGGTTGTAGTTTTCAGGTGCTGTGTTCTTGCTTTTGAGTTTTCATGACTCAACGCAAACATTTACGGCTGTACGGAAGCTAGAGGAAGTGAATCTAGGAGGAATTTTCTGTAGGATGAAAATGATTGCAGATTTTACGACAGTTTCTATCCACGTTCCTGCTAGTAATTTGAAATACTTCAAATCTACCAATTATCTGCCTCAGATCGATTTTAACGCAATTACATTGGAGAAGAGAGCAGAATGATACATTGCTTGTCATAAGTAAGCTCTGGAAAATCTACAGTAAGAAACAAGAATAAATTAAGCGCTGTGAAACCGTCTAGTTCTTCGTATAGGGTTTCGTTATGAAGCTTTTCGATGAATTTGGTCTGCATACCCAAAGAATCTGTAACGAGCCGATGGTTTCGAGAAAGACTTGGCTAATACGGTTGAAGTTTCAAAGTGGCACCTAGACTAGAGCGAAGTTGAGTTTAGAAGCGAACTGAAACTCAGTTTGGATTCTTCTAACCATGGCATACGGCTGGGAAACACTAATTGGTGCGATGGCTACTATCATTTAAAATTTCGTTCCTTTAAGTGAGCACCAGAAGTACAGAAAATATCTTTAAAAGTGTAGTAGCGCTTATTATTTTAAACTATTTTAATGAAAAGTTAATTTTTAAGTTAAGAAGTGACTTTTTTGAAAGAAAACTTCACTATCATTATTTTTTTTTTTTTTGGCCTCGTCTTTATATGAATGCATTTATCGCCTCGTTAGTACCTACCGTTAACTACGTCTAAATGAGCGAACAGCGGAATAAAAATTGGCGTAAAGATCTGTATTTTCAAAAAACCAGACATTAGGAAAAGAAGAAAGTGCTGTTAATGCTTTACAGTTTGTGGCAGCTTATTAATACAAGATATACGAGTTTTCCAATGTTTCGTCCATATTCACTCACAAACAGTCCTAAATTGCTGTCGCTTCCTCATTCTGCGTAAATTCGTTTTGCATAATAATAATGAAGCATTCTCTAGCTGAAGAACTGTTTAGGATACTAAATTAAAGCAGACGAATGAGATTGTTTATTCATTTACATGGATATGCAGTCTGAATACAGTTTTTGTTCGACGGTGGAAGTATTCGGGATTACGTCAAAGATCCTAATTCGCATTTTTAGCGAAAAGAAAGTATTTTGTGTAGCCGGTTATTCGAACTATATGTAACGTTAAAATTTTTAAGAATTTCCAAGTATTTTGTGCTTACTGAAACAGTAACACTTGTGTAAAGGTGCAGAAGAAAGAAGTCCACAGCCTATCAGTAACAGGGAACTCATTCACTGATCGCAATGATTCATCTGGCATTATGGATTTCTGACTTTTATGCTTTCAAAAACTTAGATCCTTGAGACTTTTGACAATCTACAGCTGTTATTTATTGTCCTACGCTTTTATCTCGCAAAGGATTAAAGAAAAAATTGAGAATTTTGAATTATTTAGACCATATTACTGTCTCTTTTCTAGGGGTTGTTTTAAGAGTCCCCTGAATCATAAACTTGAAAAACTGCGATAGAAAAGTGATTGTTGAATTTCATTATCGTCTTTCTAGCCAAAACATCCACGAAGTAGCGCTTTTTTTAATATCTGAAAATTTCAATTTTTAGTATACATATATGCAGCATGTACACCTGAATATAAACATAAATAGATAAACAAACATATATATATTTGTTTATTAATTTATTTATTAAATGACGTATTCACGTAAAAATGCTTCACATATGTATTTTGTAAAGACTTTGCGAAATATCGCCTATTGGAGAAGCGATCTATGATGCTTTGTCAGGGGTCTGATTGTGCTTAGACTAAACCGCGTCTTGTGAACTGCCGTGAAACTATCTCAAAGAACGAGACGACATCAGTATATTAACTGGTCGCAGTTATCAAAGTAATCATTACTGTTGGAGTTGTTATAGCCAGGTTCGTTGATTTCGGCAATTTCTTGGTGAGTTCAAAAAACAGTTCTCTTTAGGTTCCAAAAACTTTTCTGGAAAGAGCTTTAGGAACTCCTCATTTCTTTAAATGGCATCCCTGACGCAGCATTTATTAGCCTGTAAAAAGAAAGCTTCCTCTACAGTTTTTGTTTCTCTTTACATCCTTATTTTCATTTAATTTGAAAAGCAATCAGTACGTCATCAAAATTTAATGTTTGTGATTGTTAATTACTTCCTAACTTTCTCGTTCGTTCTGGCTATTTTATAAGTTCTCCTAAACTTTTCGCGCTTTGCTCAATTAAACCTACGACTTGCCTACAAACTCAGAGAGGCTTCTATATAAAATCAAACCAGAGATATATAGGATGTCCTTAGATCGCTGGGAAATCTAAATAAGCTAGTAAATGGCTTGAGGAAATCATTTGAGGAAATTTCTTTCAATGTAAATCACAGCTTTAGGTGGGACTCTAATCTCATCTTTACTTACATAAATATAAATGAGTAACTTTGTAAACAGATACAAATACACGCAAATATACGGATCTGTAATATATAACATATACAAATTGTATTTATATCCGGTTATTAAACATATATTTGGTGTTTGTAGTGTATAATACATATAATAATTATGATACATATAATGTGTATTGTATGTATTTATATAATACATATTATATACATGAGTATATGAATATTTACTTATTTGTAACTTTTTTAATATGAAAATTTTTTTTGGTATTGCTATGCCTAGCGATCCCTCTAAAAAAACTGAAGTCGCAGCGATTTGGACAGATCAGATGGCTGCATTAGATGAGGTTGAAGGATGTAAGCAAGTCTCCTCCCCCTATTGTCTGATTTCTGGGCCCTTAAATAATGACGAGCTGTGGAGTCCTGAAAATTTTATGCTTTAAAATGGTGAACATCACTGAAAGGGAACTGTCCACTAATAGAGGACGATCGATTGGCCTTTTAACGTTGCAGGTATTTCGGGTGGAAGATGAGCTATGTGTACAGTATAAAATAAATAAATAAATTTATGTATATATATATATATATATATATATATATATAT